CTTTTTTTTTGTTATTTTGTTATGTTTGGAGTTTTACTTCTGTCAGAGTAAAGGGTTTAAAATGCATAGCTGCATCCCTCTAGACAGAGGGAATCATATGGCTTAAATATGCCAGGAATGACAAGGGAACAGGAAACACACGGGGAAAACAGCTGAAAGAAATTAGACTCAACAAGTGAGAAGAAGCAAAACTAAACACACAAAACATGGAGTGCAAGACTGTCGCACGAGCTTGACACAGAAGTGGAGGAAAGGCAGTTTAGGCTAGCTCCTATACTGTTTGTATAGTGTATTTATAAGACTCTTTTTATAAACTTGTGAACTGTACAATGCATTTACAGTGATGTGAAAATGAAATCGCACCCTCTTTCACTTCTATGGTTTTACATATCAGGACATTACAAAAAATCCTCTGGTCCTCAATATGTCTAGAAATAATTTAAATACAAACTCAGATGAACAACCATAGACGTTGCACAAAACAAAAGCTAACCAGAAATTAAGTTGTTCCCCATCAACTTGGGAAAGCTGTCATTCTGCAGCGAGAAAGATTATTCACAAGTTAAAAAATATTAAATATATTCATGAATATATTCATACAGTTGCGGAAGTGAACATCACAGCTAAATCCACCCAAGGCCAGACTGCAATACTAACAGAAACTGCAAACTGCAAAGAACTGCTACTCACACTCTATAGGACTCAGTTAGCATGTCAAATGCTAACGTTTGTGACATCACAATTAGACTAATCAAGTGTGACTTTTTTTGAAAAGGATTGCCAAGAGGAATTTTCTTCTTTTTAAAATATGGCTGCAGAGCTTCAATTTAAAAAGTTGCATCTGAACAAATCAACACAATTTCTGTAACGATGTGCTTTGGACAGACAACCAGAGATGTTTGTCCCCTATCGAACACAGCCCTAACCCCTGTAATGTAAAGTGATGTAATGTGGGGTCTGAGCCACACAGGTTATTTGAACCAGGATCCAATTTGCAGTAATGTGACAACTTTACCAACTGCCAAGCACGGAGGTGGAGGGGTAATGATTTAGGCTTGTTTTGAAGCCGCAGAGAACGGATAACTTGCAGTCAGCGAGTTGACACTTCAAGTTACTGCTGCTTGAGATTCTACAAACTACTGAAAAATAGGGTGTTGGTTATTTAACACACTGCTTCTGCATTTCTTACTGATTGTGCTAAATAAAATGTGAATGATGGTAATATGCTGTGTCAGGTTTTGTTGTTGTTTGTGGTTTGAAAACTTAGAATGTATCGCTGTGATCATAGAGGAAATCTACAGTAGTTCCAGTAATGGTTTTACACACATACGCACACACACACACACGCACGCACACACACACACACACACACACACACACACACACGCAAGATATTTGATTTCAATAGAAAGCTAATGCTGACCCTTTACTGTCGTAATCTTTTTTTTTAGGCTCTCTTAAGTCCATTCTTTACTGTGTCCTTTGCCTCTGCACAACATTCATACTGGCATGCAATTGGGCAAGTAAATTACACCGGATGCAGTGCTGCATGCTTATCAGGTATCATATATACCGTATAATATGTTATATGTTCAATCACAAATGGATGCAGGATGATACCACTGATTTTAGAGACCCCAAGGCTTTGTGCTTCTTACCGGCTGTGCCGTCAAAATCTATTTTTCCGCTTCATTTCCATGCTGCTCACAGTTAAGCTCAGTGATCAATATTCTGTCTGGGATGGAGCAGAGCATTAGGGGTAACATGAAACCAAGGGTCAGGAATGTTTAAGACCTGCATACTTAGTGTCTGAATCACGCATGAAACGGGAGAGCTGACATGGAGAAAACAGATGTTTTGTTTTACAGTGTAGTACAAATCAGGCGTAATAATGAACTTATAGCGAGACGTACTCTGTACCGTCTGATATGAAATGTTAAAACATTAAAATGGCAGCAATGCATAAGGGTAAACTGCCAAATATAAAGATTTGTGACTACTGTGGAAGCTATCACCTCTAAGTTTTATTCTTCAGTATTTTTCCACATTCTTTTACACATAGATTTAGTTTATAATTAAGAACAGAACATTTAACAATAAATGAATGAAAAATGACAGAAACAGTAAAAATCCTAACATTTAATATCAATCCTATCAGTAAACAGTACCATCCCATTACTAGTTAATGACTAACTAGATACATGACCACATCTAACAAAAATAAATTGTACAGAGAAATGCCGTTGGGATTTTCAGCATTTTTATTAACTGGTCTTGGTTTTAATTGATATTTTATGGATTATTAAACACATATGAATTCAATTTAAAGTCCACCTTTAAATGAGAGCTCTACAAAACTGATCCCACAGCCTCAGCTTGGTGCTGTTTGTGCTTTGCCACTTCACTGGAGACAGCAAACTGCTTCCTCTGATGCCAGCCTCAAACACAGATGGAGCAGAACAAAATGATACCAATAGAGGACGTATTAGATGTTAATCATACAAAGCAAAATTCTGTTTTTGCAAAATTTCTTTCTGTTTCTATTTAGAAATAGAAATAGAAACAGAAAGAATAAAAACAGAAAGAAACAGAAAGAAAAACAGTTTCTAACCTAAGAGTCTAATTTTAAAAGAGGACGTTGATGTTCTGGAGATTTAAACTAATCCTATATGCTTTTTTTTTTTCACAGTATGTCAGCTAGTAGGCAAGGTAGTAGTCCACTACATACAGTGGTTAAAAACTGCATCTAAAATGTCTATGTAGACTTCCCAGAAAGCCAGATGTGGTGTTATTTGCAGATGTTCAGTTCCTTTTTTAGTGGATGAATAAACCAATACTACAAAACATTATATATTGTGTTGTATTGGCACATGATTTTTTTTCCTAAAATGTGCACATTAAGGACAATAATGAAAAAAAAAAAAAAAAAAAACAACCAAAGACCTGTTGGGGCCAGGGGCAGAGACAAGGGGTGGCCATGGGTGGCTATGTTCAACTATATATTAATGGAGAAAATGCATCCAGAAATTACTATATCTTCAGCAAACCTGTTTTGCCATAAATGAGAGTATCTCAACAGATGGTTGCAGATCTTTTTTGTTTTGTTTTTTAAATCAGGTAAGGGTGAAAAATAAAAATCAAACAAATATGTTATTATTCTATGTAGTAAATGTACCATTTGACTAGGAAGACTAATACATAAACCTCCAGCAGGTTGTTTCTCTCTTGGCCACCCCTATGAAAAATCTTGTCTTCGAAACTAATCTGACAATAGATATCAATTTCTCCTAAAAAGAAAAGTCAGTGTTCATTGTGCGCCTAAAGATGTGTAATCACGAGTGATTAAAATACAAATAAGAGGCATAGAAATGAAATCCATGTCATGTCAGTCCAGTTTCTACAGTTACAATGACTAAGCATCAAAGAACGCCACACCAGGCCTAAAGCCGTCCTCCGACATGTCTGAAGGTGGGCCGGTGACACCATTCTGCCACACAGCGTATAACGACTGCACTCGTGCACAAACACATTTTACGTTTACTACTGTCTTCACCTCTACTGTGCAGTCTCTGTGAAATTCTTAATTTATGATAAAATAGTCAGACCTGCTGAAAATTGTCCATTCCCACATTCCCACCAGTTTTTTAATGCCATTGAATGAAATTCCACATTGCTGATAAACTGTGTCTGCTGGCTTTACGTTATAACTCTCGGTCGCCCTCTCCTCCGTAAAGATAATTATTGGTTCCAGCTGGTTGGACATACTCCTCAGTTTTGTCCCAGTCTGACACCCAGCCTCCTCCTCCTCCCCCAGCCATGCCCCCTCCGTTGGGATCCGATGCCTGGTTCGTGGCTCCGTAGCCCGCTCCACCGCTTGTGCGATACAGTTCTTCCGTCTCATTTGCAAGCTCGTCCTCGTCCAGGATCCCGCATTTCTCGTCACTCAGCTGCTCTGGCTCTGCCCAAGGTTGTTTCTCTCCAGATGCAAAAATACCTGCAGCAGACACACAAACTCACTGAGGTAATAAATGACATGAATGTTACAGACCTAGACTTTTACAGTGATAGCTGACAAGTATACAGAGTTTTGCTGAATTTTCATCATTCAGAATTTTTGTAGTTGATCTGGTTACGCACAAGAAAGGAGACTATGCATACCATAGAACATAACACCTCCATAATGAACGAGTGAGGCAATAAGAAACACGCCCTGCCACTCTTCTCGTGTCTACCAGGAAAACGTGAGAGAGAACCATGAGAAAGTTGATTACACTTACAAGCACGCATTATTATCAGTTAGAGTCACAAATTCAGAAACGGTTCTCACCTTATGCTTTGTCATGGCACCGACTATAAGTGGGCAGACCATCCCAGACAAGGTGCCTACGCCGTTGGAGATACCCATGAGGATACTAGCATACCGCGGTGCAATGTCCAGGTGGTTGACATTGAAACCTTGTGAGGAACCATTAATATTATTACCATCTTGTGATAAAAACACAACAATGTAGCTGCTTAACTTTCAGTCGCATATCATTTATGATTAAAATCTTTGAAGGAACACTTCATATTTCACCTGAAATGGCGAAACCAGAGAAACCCACAGCCAGGACCAGGAATGTAATGGCAATGCCTTTTGTGTGTGAAAAACCAACTACCAGCAGCAAGGTAGCCTCCATCCCAAACCCTGATGCAAGCAAGCAAAAAACAGACATATAAATAGTTTTAACATATAACAGTGCAAGTGCTTATTTTGTTGCCTTGTGTTCACACTTTTCGCTAACCGAATGTGCCTGGAAGTCTTGTCGATTGGTTAGAGATAAGTGCCTTGCAAGCTTCTGCATTTCACTTCGGTGTTTGCTGTTTGGTTTCTCTCTACAATGTAAAAATAGCAGACAGTGGCGGGGCTTCTGTTTTTGGTGAGTCATCATTTGCCTTATGTGGTAAATGACTTCTCACCACAGTCGTGTTACTGTGCTTGTTTTCTTCAGTGTCGCTTGACTCACTTCAAACATAAAATTCAAATAATTTTATATAAGATTTTGAGCATGTGCCAATTTAACCTCTCAAAATAAAAGGACCATATATACGCTGCTCCATAAACAATTAAGGGAACACTTAGTTATTGCATTGTCAGTCTGTCCAGTTTGGAAGCATAACCTGCAGCCCTTACAGGCTGCGCAGATAATGAGAGTCCATGAGCGTGGCATGAGAGCTCGATGTCCTTGAATGGGACCTGTGCTCACAGACAGGTGCTGTGTCGATTGACTGGCATTTGCCACTTATTCTTCACAGATGTGAGCACGTCCACATTGCTCATGACTTCCTGGGCTGTTTCTGTCTTGTCAGATGTAATTGTTTCATTTATGCAAGTTTTCGTTTTCCCTTCCCTTTAATTGGTTCTTTCTTACCTCCACAGTTCATTAGCTTCCTGACATTCGTGGTGGTCATGATGTGGTTGCATCGCAAATAGTCAGCAATCTGGCCACCAATGGGCACAATGATGGTCATAACCAGATGAGGAAGAGCAGACAATATCCCCACCTAGATGAGAACAAGAAAAAAGCCTTAATAAGTGTAAAACATCCATGGAAGTTGGCACAAACAGTGCGATCTCTGCCATGTTATTGTACGTACATTCTCAGAAACCTGGGTAAGGAAATATTTTACATTTGGACCCAAGACTGTTCACCACTCTATCGCAGCAACTTCTGTCACTACAGTTATAATCTGCCTGTAGGTAATGACTGGAGCTCAAGCTAACGTGCTTATGAGGCACAGAACAGTACATATTCATATAGTTTCCTCCAGACTTTAAGGTGCAGCTTTGGAAGACAAACTACATTCAAATACAAAAACAAATTTAGAAAACTCTTATTTTTCAAGATTTTAAATAAAAATTTAAGTTCATTAAAGTTCAAAGTTGAGCCTGAACATAAATGTCAGCAGTGTAGATATAGCATATGAAAAAGCATGGAGAGAGGTGTACAACACACTTTTTATTTTGTCAAGATAATGCTCTGAGACATCAGAACAATGGCTGATGTCAGGATCTTGTAATAAAAAATTCAAGGTCCAGGATCCTTCCTGCGGAAGGAACATAGAGAGCATTTCCTGTCAACGTGCAGTTGCACTCTGTGAGTTCTCCTGTTGCTTATTTGCAGCAGGGTGGTGCAGACCATTGTAATGGTGCCAGAATGGCTCTAGAAATCCTCCCGAAAGCCATTGTTCTTCTGGTGCTCTGGTTTCCTCAGTCAGACACACAGGATATTTAATTAGTGAATCTAAATTGGGTGTATGTGTTAATATGAGACAAAGCTTTGAATGATCAATAACACTAAAATAGAAATACTTCAGTGTAACAGCCTATAAATTAATTGATATTAAAAAAATATGTCCCATAGAATAACACAATTTTCAACCTTTTTTAAAAAATTTAATTTTAGTAAATTAAGGTGAAAAATTGTTGTCAGTGCTTCATGACTCAATATAAGGTGTGCAAACTGCAATGGTACAAATGAGGGCATTTAAATTTACCACAGCAGTGGCAAGACACTCAACCAAAGCTGCAGTGATGTCCTTTATTTTGTGATATAACTGCTGAAAGGTTTTTGCTTGTTGACTGCACATGTTACCTTGCTAATTTCAAACCCAAAGACCTCCTCAAAGTAAGCAGGCTGGCTGATGAGGAGCAAGTAGAAAGTCCAGCTTCGGCAGAAGTTGGCTACAATGATGGCATACACTGGCATGGAGGTAAAGAAGGCCCTCCACGGTGTGTTGAATTTCTGTAAGGGAAAAATGTGATGATGATTTTAGTGATTTTGTCTCAAACGTGTATAGCTCTTTGCTTGAACACGTAACTAATTAATTTTTTTAATGTTTTCCTTTGAAACAAACGAGCAACACAAACAACAACAGAGCAGGGTGTGTGGAACTGAGTTTTGCTTGACTGCAGATACAGAAATGAGTGCTAACAAAAAGTTTCTAAATCTGTCACTGTGACAGATAAACAATTGAGATTCTGACTCAGTGTTTGCTTGTTTATCATCTCCGTTATCTCACTCTGAATCAGCATATAAACTCATCTATTTTTAAGAGGGGGTTTTTTTTAAACGTGGTTTCATAGCAATCCTGTAAACTAGTGAAATGCCCTTGAATGAAGTGCAGTGAGAGATCTTGAGAAATCTGTTGCATGTACTGACCGTTACTGTAAATTGGGCTGACTCGCCAATGCTTTCCTCAATGTATTTCTTCTCCTCCTCGGTGATGGTGGGGTGAGCTGCCGGACTTTCATATGAGACCAGGATCCAAAAGCAATACCACATAACACCAAAACTTCCTGGGGAAGGAACAGGCAGATTGGAGAAAAAAATATTCTTTTTTTTCCACACTAACTCATTTGTTATTACAATACTGTGCAAACAAGGACCCCTCATTTCTTTAGATTCTTCTTCCAAGTAGCCAGACTTTGCTGTAACTTTTAAAAGTGGTCTTGAGCAATAGTTCTTTAGCCTTCATGAGTTTTTCTTTGGATGTCGGTTACTTTGTTACTTTTCAGGCCAGTTTTTGTACCCGTGCCTGACTATGTTCAGAAGATTGTGTTTATTTGTTAAGCCACGTGACACTGAGCTGATCTGACTCGAGGGATGAACCAGTGTTGTGTCTACACATTGCTAGTACAAATAATTTGCTCCATTTCTATACAAAAATAATAATAATTTTTTCCACCAACAAAGGGATTCGCAAAGACCTGTCTGCTGAATCTTTAAGCATAAAATACTTGAGATGTGCTGAGCATATCACAGCATGCTGTGAAGTGCTTCCTTTAAAAGTTTTTGCCGAAACTGGACAATTGCAGGTCAAAAGAGGAAGTGGCACATCTAAAAAAAACTATCTGCAAATGAAGGCGATCCGAAAGTCCTTAAGAAAGAGTAAAAACGTTGGTAGCACTTTATAAAAGTGTCACATGGTATTAATAAGTGCTTAATTAATCATTTATATATCATTACTCCTCCTTAGTATGTCCTTTATAAATACAGATATGTTTATCTGTCTGTTACTGTTACATCATGTACAACTATCACTGGTATTACATCACTTCTACTAATAATCATAATAACATTCATAATAATATATCTGTTTTTATTAATGTCAAACTGCTGAGGAGTAATGCTGCATAAATAATGAATTAAGGGCTTGCTAATACCTTAATAATGCCTAACACTGTGACTTTATTATAAAGTGCTCCCAAGAAATACATCCATCTATTGTTCACTGAAGCTTCAACAGAGCTCGTCTCAGTGGGAGGGTGGCTGTCAAGAAGACAGAAGGGAAACAGGGAAAACACACAGTCATGGATTGGCCTCCCCAAGTTTACCTCAGCATTAATTAGGAATGTAGGGTCTCCAGAGAACAAAACAAAAGGCAACCAACATCCAAAGAAGAGCTTTGAATGTCCTTCAAAGAGTTCAGATTTTGTGTGCCGAAGAATCAAGGTAGTCAAATATTGACTTTCAACTTTGTTACATTTGTACTGAACTATTGAACTAAATCTGTTTTTGCCACGTATGCTGTTTCAATAAATTGCTGCGCTGTCGAAAAATAAAAAGAACTAAGGCATTGCTCAAGATTCGTTCCACAGTACTGTGTCCGAACACATAACAGTTTTGACATGACATGTGGTGTAATTTCTTTTTTACCATGAGACTACATCCTTCTGATATTTATGGCGCTGGTCTGCTGTGGTTTTCCTTTTCTCACAGTTTCATTATGAGTGAGGGTGTACTGTGTGCGTTCAGTGTCTTCGCAAGCATCCGCATTTTTATGTATCAACAACAGTTAGCTTATTAAAAAATGCATATTCATTCCAAACTGAAGGGTTTGAAATGAGGCCCAGGGTAAAGGCGTCTTACCATACACATAGAAGACAGATGACCATCCTGAGTACTGGACTAGGATTCCAGCTAATGGCATGGCAATCACAGCACCAGCGTAAGAACCTAAAACAGGAAAATATTGATTTTATTTTGATATTGTTTATATATATTTGTTGTTAATTGTCTTAATCTATCACCCATTGTTTGCAGGCAGAGCAGCTGAGGGTCACTGATCACGGACTCACCACAAAAGGCTGTTGTTGCCAGGCGACTTCTTTCAAGAGGTGGTGCCCATTTGGCCCAAATACCATGACATGCCGGGTATGAAACTCCCTGTGGGAATAGGAGTAGAATGTAGGAATTTGCATGATTATAAATAATCTCAACTGCATTATGTAAACAGAAGCACATTGCAGGGGGGCACTTCAGGGGAGAGAGAAGCACCTCCACAAGTCCTTGAAAGATCCTGACAATGATAACGCAGCCAAAGTGCATACGAGCTGCTGTAGGAATGAGCATGTTCAGGAAAGATGTTGCCACTATAGCAAAGCCAAACACCCTGAAAAAGAAACAAAACACAAAGAAGAAATTACCCCATTGAATATGCTGTGCGACAAAAGCTGATTATTCCTTGCACGGTGCAGGAGGTTAACAGACCTGTTTGCTGCAAACTTTTGACAAATGAACCCTCCTGGGATTTGAGTTACAATGTATCCCCAGAAGAATGAACCGTGGATCATTCCCACCGTTTCAGGATCCCAGTCAAACTGTGCTTTCTGTTGGGACACACAGTAAGACACATCATTTAAAATCATATCTGGATATGTGCAAATGAGTTATTCTTTCACTTCTCAAAAGCAAGACTAAAATCTAAAGGTGGACATTAGATAATTAACAGTAAACAAGAACCATAAAAAACAGATGCTGACCACTACTGACATCTGCTGACCAGCCACAAGTATTCCACCAGATCTCTTAACTATATCAAACATTCACTAGCTGGGCCCACGTCCTCATTTTAGGTTTGACAACGTTTAAGTAGGTAAAGGTGAATGCTTGGACATGCGTTTTGGTGGAGTTTTGGGGGGGCCTTGCCGGGGGCTGCCGGGGGTTGCCGGTCCTGGTGTATTCCCATGTATTGAGGGGGTTTGAGGACTTTAAAGGGGTGGGAGGGTGAGGGAGTGTGAGCCCCTTAACCAGGGGGGATTGGTTTGTGGACTTGGGGGAGGTATGGATGAAAACCGGAAGCAGCGTGTTTGGAGGCGTGGTCCGATGCTTAATATTTAATTATATCAAACAGCTGGAATTGGAATAAACCTTTTTCATAGCCAGTATTTTGGTTTTACTCTGACTTTGTTTGATTTGGTGGGTTGGTTTTTAGGATGCCTGCATTGTTCAGTCCTGGTTAGTTGCGGAAATTAGCTCCTCCCTTTATGACTAGTTAGCTTGGGATCATAGGAGGTGCTGCCTTCAGGTGATAATACAGAGAGAAATCATTTTCATGAAAGTACTGCTGTGTTAGTTTTAATAATGTGACACTTTGGTATGCTTACTCGTGTTTTATCATTCCAGTCAGTGTAACATTTTCTCATGTTGTTAAATCCTAACTCAGCATTTTATGAGTCCGTTAGACATATATAGTCATATGTAGGGTACCTAGCACAACCCCCCATGGCCAAAACAATCTTAAAACAACATAAACATAAACAGTCATATTACACAATGTGTAATTCGTCTGTGTCACTTCAGGGGAGAATTTAACATTAGCTCAGACTCATCTGCTGTCACTCACCACTATAACCTCCTTGTTGTCTTTGAAGATGGTGTGGCTGTTGACCATGCTGACGATAGCCACGCCCAAGTTACACCGGATACCGAAGGAGATGCAGAAACCAATGCCAGAGAGGATTGCGATGATGTAGCGCCTGGGCAGACCGAAGCACGTGCAGTCCACCACAGGCATCTCCTTCTCCTCCACCAGCTCTGGCCGGCCCTCTGCTGACAGCTCGATGGTCTCGCCATTTTCCTGTTTCTTCTCGATAGCTCTGTGAGGAAAAGTGGGTAGATTAAAAGTGTCACCTACATTTAGGTCACTTTATTGTTCCTGTATCGAAGAGGGGGTAGATAAACTGTATTCTTTAATAAAGGTAAAACTATTTGTATTTCTTATCTCTTAAGCATAACTTGCTAAAGAAATAACCTTGAAAATACACAACAAAACACACTTGCATGCAAATGAGTCATTTCAAAAAGCTTCTACTAGTAGATAGTATTGTTTACTGATTTGTTTAAGCTAAACAATGATTCATAAGTGACAGGGAATAACTCGAGGTTCAACAGTTACTAAGTCCTGAAAACCTAATGCATGTCATTGATTTAACTTCGGAGGAATTGGTAAGTGGGCCTGAGGTTTTCCAATCTCCTGCTGCCACAGTGAAAACAGATCCTGAAAAGCTTGTTGACTGACAACTTGGCCTGATGAAAGTGAGTGGGTTTAGATGTTCAGACAGTCCTCTTGGGTGTCTGTTTGACTGCTAAGTCAAGCATCTTAAAAAAAAAAAATCACAGTCAGCACAAATGTCCATTAGCATCCCACTGCTGGGACCTGCTGTTAACGCTTTAACTTATCACATTAAGTTAATACAATCAGGATTTCTGCGCTGCACCCTCACAGAAAGCGCCAGCAAAAAAGAAAAGCCTAAAGCAAGCTGCTCTTCTGCCTCACTGCAAAACCCTTAGAAACCACAAGGACTGTCAGCCTCCGACAAGCATCAAATATGCATCTAAATGTAGCAGTCATCTATTAAACATGTCATGTGAAAAGCTGAGTTGTAAGATAAGACCACTGCAGGTCCAGCTACGATCGCAGAGATGCGCAGAGTATGGCTATACTTCGTCAAAGCGCATCCACAAACTCAAACCTGCAGCTTTTAGCCAAAAATCAACTGTGCAAATGTAGAGCAGAGATCATGGGAATATTTTGTTTGACAGCTTGTACTGAACGAAAGATTAAATGAACCAGATTAGCGTTCATAACTGACTCTTCCTGATTTTTAATTACCCACAATTTTGACAGGTTAGGAAAAGACTAGAGCAGGTTGTGATACTGTAAATCACATTCATTGTATGATTACATGGAATGCGACAAACACTTCAGTGAAACAGTGACAAAAGAAAGCAATCATGGAGGCAATAATCAATAAAAGTATCAATAAAATCTAATTTATATTGGATGTATAACTATATCCAGTTTTATCCTCTTAGGGTCAGTGCATTTAAAAGCCACAATAGTTTCTATGTATTGTTTCATGTTTCAGAGGTGGACAAGTAGAAAGTGACAGATCAGTTTTTAGCTCATCCAGCTAGCGTTAGTCAGATCACACTTGTTATTAATCTCTGCTTCTCTTCTACAGCAAGTCCTTCATCCTGTCTTCTTCCTCTGCCCCCAACCAATCACAGCAGATGCCCCCCCCCCCTCCCTCTTCCTGTTAAAATGGAGTTTTTCCTTCCCATTGTCACCAAAGTGCTTGCTCATAGCGGGTCATATGATTGTTGGGTTTTTTTCTCTGAATGTTTTATTGTAGGATCTACCTTACAATATAAAGCACCTTGAGGCGACTGTTGTTGTGATTTGGTGCTATATAAATAAAATTGAATTGAAAATGTAAGAATAGATTTTAGTGAAACTTAAAACATTGATCACCTAATCATGGTCATGGTTAGTGTCAAGGTCACATTTGCCATTTTACAGGCAGTATCTTATAAATTGTGAAACATCATGAGCTGGATGAGTTACTACATCACTGCCCTTTAGGTTTTATATATACATGTGAGCAGCTTCTATTGACCTGGATCAGCCATGCAATTTGAAAACCTCATCCACTGTTGTATACGTCGCTGTTGTGAATATGATCACAGTGAACCTCTGATGCGTCACCATACTCTTCCTAACCAAACAGACATTGTGATCATTTTAATTATTAAGGAGACTGGAGGATGGCGTGAGACATTCAAGACCAAACACAAACACAGCTGATACAATTATCCAAATCAAAATATGCACCCAAAATAACCTTTCACACGCTGAATGTAGTACGAAAAACCCCAGTCCTGATGGCACATTTAAGTGATTCTTATGATTCTGATGCTGTAATATTTTTTTCCTAGATTTAAGTGTATTTTTATCTAAGGTCACTGAAGGTTGACAAACAAAGGAAATTGCAGAAGTGACTAGGACATATGACAAAACACCTCAGGTCAAAACACTTCCCAGATCTCTTTTTTTGTTGTGAGTAAATCTGTGTGTCATACTTGCGATATTCAACAACATTTAGAGCTTGTTCATCTAGTGGCAAAAGCTTTTATAAGTACATCTGTTGTGTAGGCCCTGGAGTTAAGGCAGTTGTTTATATCACGCTATGTAATATATTTCCTGCAGACTTTAAAGTGACATGGTTATTACCAGAGAACTGCTGTGAGGCCATTTGTGTTCCTGCCAACAAATCTGTCCAGAACATTCATACAAAATACCAACACGATTGAAAACAGCTATGCCGTTATAAAACATGCTCTGTTGGTAACTGTAAGCAGGGGTTCCAACAATCTTCAACACCGATCAAATATTAATGATTTTCGTTGTTAAATTATTAATATCTCTGGCTCTCTTGGACTATTTCTGTCTGGGCTGGCCTCTCTCGTCTTTCTTCCTGTCTCCTTTTCATCTTTAACCCTGCTCCTTACCGGCATCTCCTCTGACTCACACATGTTCTCACACATAATTCACAGCAGTCCTTCCTTATTTTACACCAGTTTATTTCCCTGGTGTCCATATATGTAGTTTTTTTTTCACTGGCTGTACACTTGTAGTGCTTTCGGTCTCACTTTACAGTAAAGCTCTCTCTACTTATGATGTAATTTCTCAACATTTACCATGTAATTTTTGTCATTCTTAAGCATCTCAAAACACAACTGACATTTTAAAAGGAAAGATATTATTAACACTGAGCATTTCTATGCAATTAACATATTTTGGGTATTTTAGAAGAAACAGCCAATGATGTTTCTTATTCTTACATTGCAATTGCACATTATTGTTAAGGGCATAAGCCGTATTATAGAATATCATAAACATCCCTTCTTTCATTCTAATTACACATTATTTTGGTGCGCAAGATGTAATATGCTTCAGAGTTGTCCCATCTGATTAAGGGGGCACTCCAAGTCATTTCTTTAGAAGGTATGTCCACCAGAAAACACAATAAATGAAGTATAATGCAACATAATGCGGACAATCTGAAAAGGGGAGATTATGCCATACAGCCAAAACTGCTAACAACAGTGTCTAAAGAATGAAAACGTGTTTTTATTGTCTTAAAGTTTTGTATTATATTAGAAACAGTCACATTATAAATTGTGCCTCCTTCTAAATTAATCTAAAGGTGTTCAACACTTCAAAATGCAGGTCTCGTTTCCTTTAAAACCTCCTTGCTCTGCTGCACTGACATTTTAGACTCATTTGGAATCAGTTAGTATTTTCGATACTGAATATTACACATTAGACTAATTGTGGTGAAAGCATTTTGACAAATTATACTATAGGTCAAGGACTTTATTATAAAGGGCCACTATATTTTACATTTTATACTGTATCAGTTGCAGTGACTTTTCATGACTGACCCCAGGTTAAGGAAAATCCGTCGTAATCCCTAAAAGCTGCCTGACCTTCTCTCCCTTTCTCCCGTTACACCTTGTAAAAAAGCCCAGATTTAATCATTCCTGTGGAACAATTGAACTCAATCCCAAAAAAGTAAAAGTTCTGAATGTTGGAGTATAGCAGAGCTGAATTCTATATTTCCTGAATCAATGCACCTGGTTCCGTCAGCGGGTTCATCTCTTAATTCATACATCAAGGACAAATGTAGGGCAGACCGTCAGCTCGGACACCTTGGAATAATTGATTAGATAAGAGAAAGTTGATGGGCTGAAAATGCTCCATGGCATTAATACAAACTTAGTGAACTAAATCTCCTAATATAAAATGTTAAAATATCCTCTATCCGCTCATGTGGCAGTTATAACGGACGAAGGAAAAAGGTATAAGAGAGTTAGTCATAAAATACTCGCGAGGAACGAGTTTTCCAGGTAAATGTTTTGAGGATAAAACCTGAGATAAATAAGAGATTCAGAGTGTCTTTGAGTCAAATTCCTGCTTAACCTGAAAATAAAGACAAGCACCAGCTGTCTGCTATGATCACTGACTGAAATCACAGACGATCGCGTGACTGCTAATTTGCGCTAATCAACTTTGAAAAGAAGAAGATGACGCTTGAGAAGTAAACATCAGGCGGAGAGTTGTATAATAAAACAGGCTAAAGGTTTAGTCATTTACAATAATTAAATAAAGAGTCATTTATTTAATTATAAGGTGCGGATTTCGCGTGCGGAGAGTCGGAGCGGTCAAGCAGGCCGGTGAGCCTTTTACGCAAAGCAGCCAGGTACAGGCGGGAGCACGTGAG